GGTACCTTTACATAATAATTTTGGTTTTTATTTTTTCCCCATTTCCCTGCCCTCTCTCAACCCCTCCCCCTCCCTCCCAATCTACAAAGTCTTTGTTTCCTTTATTTTTCATTTTCTCATATTGATTCCATTCCCTTCTTTCCTTTCCACGACCCCTCCCATTTCCCATTCCTCTTTGTCCCTGCGTCAAATATTGAGTGTCTGGAAGCCATTATTGACCATGCCTGTCCTGAAACTGTTTTGTTCATCTATGATGGTTTCCTCTTTCTGCCAAGCATGTGGGATAATTTACATCTCCTACCCACAAGTAACAGATAAGTAGTACTCTCAGTCCACGTTATGTGTCCTATGATGAATAAAATGGGGGTCCTGGTCAAATTTATAATCTAAGTCTCAGGAATCCTGTGACAAATTCCCTCACCTCTATGTAGAGTAACTACAGTTTGGTGGTCAGCTGGGATTGGGGGCTACATTTATGATTGCAGAAACAGTTCTAAGAGTACAGGGTGGCAGAGGCCTTAGATGGGCCCATCTAAGGTCGGAGATAAAAACTGTAATATAAAATAATGAGAAATAATTAGTACTTAATACCTTTTTATGAGTGTTGGTGTTTGGGAAAGGACTGAGTATAACGGGGATATCTGTTCATATTTATTTGCAAGTTATAGAACACAAATTATATCACGTGATACAGGTGATTAATTTTCATGGTATTCAAACTAGAGTTTACTTAACCCTGGCTCTAAACATAACCATTTCCCCAATCCAGATATTCACTTTTAATTTATTCTGCTATTTGTTCAGTTAATGAATACGGATAAAGATGATATTTAAACTATTAAAGCAGCTATAACAACCACACACATTGTTTCATAAAGACAAGCACAAGGGTAATTTTATAAAGAATATAATTTAGTTAATTGTTAATAGTAACAATAAAGTAAATATATGCTTTCTAATTATTAATGCCATATATCTATTATCATTAAACTCCATGAAAGTGAGACTTCTTGTTTAATTTTCAGCTTATTAACAGCTGCCGATTTCCTTAATTTCGTGTTTCAATATATCTTTCTCTCCAATCCATGTGAGTTTCAGAAATATTCCACTTCAGTGGAATAGTTATATTTTGGCATTAAATAGAAAGCATGAAAATATTTCTTTGCAACATTTTCATTTTGTCTTGGTCTTGGAAAAATTTCACATTCAAAATTTCATATGCAGTTGTGGCAATTTATTTTATTTTCAATTAAAGTTTTCTTTTTGCATCTCCTGTGATTGGCTACTGTAGCATAAATGACATTCTCTTTTTAGAAGAAATTAAAAGTTTAGATTTTTATGGTTTTAGTTAAAATCTGTGGCATCACATTTCTCACTTAGCATATTACTCAATAATGAACATTACCAAAACAATTTTTGTGAAAATGACTTTGATAATGGTCCAGCATTATTTCACTGGATTTGAGGTGATTTTCACATAGTTTTATATAGGGTGCTAGTTGTATTCAAAATTCACTCCTTTTAAGCTATGTACATTTTCACACATAGAATAAAACTAGTTCCTTACATTCAAAACATCAGTGACGGAGATTCCTTACAATTTCCATCTTCCTATCTTATTTAGACAGCAATTCCTCTACCACAGTAATTCAACAAACCATTTGAAAAATGATTGTAATTCTATGATTCATTGCTCTAATTCCTTCCCCTTCTTTCACTTCCAAAAAGAAATCTCTCTCAGTGGTGGATGTCACTTCTCTTTCCATGGACACAGCATCATTTGATGGAAAACCTAGACCTTCTAGATAGATTGCTTGTACCTTTATTCCTGCAATGACACCACATTCCCAATCAAATCCTGCAGTGAAGGAAAAGCTTTGGCTGATGTGGAGATGGGCACCAAAGTTTCCATGTATTTAGAAAGTTTGCAGTGCAATTCAAACTGGCTGTCCTTCAAAATAATGTTCTAAAAACCCTTTTCCATAAATAGCTTGTGTATCACCTTTTTATGCATCTATGGAAACTTTATAACTTTAATGAACAATCTATTTTAAAACTTAAAAATGAATTTCTGATATGAATATACATAGTAAAACCATCCTATTATTTGTGCTTTCCCATGCTTATTGTCATTAAAAAACAGATAATCCTCTCTTTCAGCTGCCTGCTGTTCTTTTCTTCTGAAAGCAAATTAGAGTCAGTGAGACTCTCTGGGCTGGACTCAAATATCTGGAAAAAAATGTGAAAGAAATTTCTTCTCTTCAGTATTGTATTTTATGACTTACAATGACATTTGGATAATGTAATTTTTAACTTTGTCTGGAATATGTTATTTTTATATTTTGTGTAATTATTTTGAATAGATTAAACATTCAAAAATAAGAATAAATTCAATATAATACATTTAGAAAGTATATATTTACTTTTTTGCAAAAATAAAGATTTCTAATTGATTTTAAATCTTTCTTTTTGAGAGAGAAGAATGCTAGAAGGTATTTCCAACAGTGCTCAAGTTTTAAGCAGGAAAAACACTTGAAGAAGGCAATGTAATCTCTCCATGGTTTACTGTGTATAACACAGGAAGAAAGAGCCCCCTAATGGTTCAGGTATCTATAAAAGCAGAAGAGACTCAACGGTCTGATTTCTTCTTTCAGAATAGTTAAAAAGAAAAATCAGGAAAGACAATTAATACTACAGAAATGAATGCAAAGTTGAAAAATGTCAAATGCACTGCTCCCAAAAACACGAGGAAACGTGAGAATTGCTAAGATGAAATGGTTAAGGAAGCAAATAGATTTGAGACTCAAAATGACCCTTATATTCATCACTCCTTGGGCTGCTGTCTTCCCCAATCATGCTTGCTGAAAGCACTGATCTAGAATTCAGGAGACATGTTAATTACATAGCTAGGAAGTGTGAAATGTTATTTAAAAAAGAATATACTTTTTATCCAATCAGTGAACATTTCCTATTAAAGAGCAGGAAAATTAAATTCCTTATAAGAGAAATTTCAGAATTTGTAAGGAAGAAAAAGAGGATGAAAGAAATATCAAGAGTAAGCAAAGTCTAATTTCTAAGTGTAATGATATGAGTTAAAAATTATTCTTGAAGTCTTCTGAAAGAATGAATGCACCTTTACATCAAAAAATTAAGTTATTTATATTTAGTCATGCTAAAATTTTAATGGGCTCTTAGAGACTCACAAAGAAACTGAGAATTAGTTTACCTTATTGTATATCTTAATATAACACATACATGCTATAAAAAACTGCTCCATAAGAGATTAGATAATCATGTTGAGAAAATTATAAAATTTAAAAAGTATTGTAGGTTAAATTTAAAATTAAGTAGTGAAATTGATTAAACTAAACTATATCCTTTAATGATACATCAGATTGTTTGCATAAAAAATGATATGGTTAAAGACACAATTTAAAATGAGAACCAAGACCTGTCATGTAAAGGTACAAGATCCTAATGATGAATGTAACTGTACCGTCTACCTAAAATGTACCAATAAACTCAATGAGAAAAAAAACACAATTTAGAAATGTTACACAAAACACATAATTTATATGACATTTACTAAGTAATTAAACAAGATTATAGTACATTTTAAAAAGGTATATCCCTATAACTTCACATAAACTATGTTTTTCAAAATTTCTGTTAATCTTAAAAATTGTTGAATTCTGGTATAACTGCTACCATTACAAATATCCAGGAAGCTGTAATATTTCTATTAGGAAATATTTAAATGTAATCTCACATGTAAGTGGTAATATAGATGTCATTAATAACTTTGTTTTTCACAGATTGCGATAAACATAAAAACAAAGACCAGGGAAGTAATTTAGTGTACACAGTAATTTTAACTTCACAGGTATTGACTCCCAAGAGTGTTAACAGTTAAGTTTCTAATTTTAAAACATTAAATAACATTAAAAAAAAAAAACTTCTGTTAACTCAGAGCTAACAGTATTCTCTCTGATTAAAGAAGTTAGTTGGCTCCTTCGCTCAGAAGGACATTCAGAATTGTTCTCGGGATAAAATATCTCTTCATTGACCCCCCAAATTGACATAAATATGCCAAAAATCATTTCAGTTTTAGTAATTAAGATACAAATCCTTTGTGTCCCAATATCCATGCTATGATAATTGACACTTGTGACCCATAAACCTAAGTGGATTAACATCAGTACTGCATTGCCCTAGCCTGGTTTCCATATTCTATTCTTTTACTTTCCTAAGAAATAATTATTTTGAAAGCCCTGTTCCCTGCAGAGAATTTAACATGTGAAAGTTCTTTTAAATTCATTGATGCGTTACCTGCACATGCCATCACTGACACTTTAAACTTTAATTGATAGGACTGCAGCTTAACAATGAACTCTAGAATAGCAGAGCTAAACATCCCCAGAGTCATATTTCATTACCTTAGCTCAGTACTTTGTTACAAACGAGTGCTAAGCATCAGCAGCTATGAGAGAGCAATCTAATGTCACATCATTTAGGATATGGTATGTTTACTTTGAAGAGTTAAAATAGCGACCAAACAACAGACTTTTTAAAAAGCCTGAAGAGCACATGATAGCTTCTATGTCTGAATGAAATATAACAGTTGGCAGTTAATGCAGTAATTGACCTTTCCAGATAGAATGTTATTTCCCAAAGTTGTTCAACTCCTGAAAATAGTATTTAAGAACATATGTAAGGTTGTCCCCAAAACACCTCTTTCCAGTGTGAATTTGGCTTATATACTTTCTTTAGAAGGAGTACAAATTTATAATCTGGTACATTTTAAAAACACACATAGATGGGATGAAAGGCAAACATACTTATACAAATGTTCATTCCTATGTTCCTAAATCTACATTTGTGGGTATAGAATTGACTTTAATGCCTGGCTGCAAACTCTGCTTTTAAAGAATGCAAAGCTATCGTGTATTTTACTAGGAATGACTAAAATGAAACGGAGACAACAAAATTAATTTCTTTACCTGGAGCAGGAAACACTTTCTGTTCAGGGGTGGAAAGAGCAGGAGCTGGAACGGGGGGCTGATTTTTGTTTTCTTGACAAAATCCGCTTTAATGATGCAGGAGTGAGGTGAGCTATTCCAAGGTGAAGTCTGTTATTTCTTGCTGGGTCTCTGAGCTGACATCCTTTTGTAAAAGAAAAGGCACCTCCGTAAATTGTTGACTCAGGGAGCCCGAAGCAAGATTATCGGGCAGCAGCAGTCACATCGTGATGCCACGGAACGCCCTCCGCCTCCTTCCACACTTGGTTCTCTCTCCCTCTCCCTCTCTCTCCTTTTCACCCTGATGCGCACTCAGCTCTGAGTCTTAGCTCTTGCTGCCGCTGTATAATCAATCTAGCCTGTCTGAAGCTAATAGTTCTCCATTTAACCAGCCAATCAATAGCAAGGATTCCACTGCTAGTCCCAAGAGTCTTTTCCAAGAGTGGTACAAACAATGAGAGTTTTGCCAGCAGTTTAGCCAAGTATTTTTCATTATTTTGTCTCCCTTAGCGATAGGTTCTGAGAGAACAGAGGCTCAAAGCAAGCTTAATGTTATTGCAGATTTTTGCGTTTTTAAAATTTACCCCTTCTTATCCAACTGAAATTAATCCATGCATACTCACCTTTTATCCACTATTATTTAATAAATGCTGCAGATTAGCAATGTGCTATGTATGAAAAAAAATGTTTCAAGCTCAAATATATCCAAAAATTTTCAAGAGCAAAACTGCATACACTGACACTTGTTTGTTTGTTTGTTTGTTTTGCTAGAAACTATGCCTCAAGGAACCATGGATCAATTAAAGAACACCCCATTATGTTGAGTTCTATTAAAATTCATTCATTTTGTTCTGGAAAACTTGTGGTCAATTATTTTTGTTTTTCATAAGGTTGAAGGGTGATGTTTGCAGGTATTTTTGAACCATCGTCTGAGTCAGACTTCAGTTTCTAGAACATTTTTCAATTTTAAAGCATAGATCTACAAAGGGATTCTTCTAAATGTATCAAATAGAGCATTTCACACCTGATTCAATCCTTCAAGGTTAAGAAGATTTTCTTCTTAAAGTCACACTTTCATTGCTCAAATACTGTGACTGAGTATAAGAAGCACAAAGCACACCATTGAAGATCAGGAAGATGTTTTTATCCCTCACATGAATCCAGGAGTACAAAAAAAAAATGTGAAAAAGAAAAGAGGGTGTGAGGTCATCGTAGCCAAACCATAAAATAATCTTTCTGTACTTCTAATTAGGAGATGATTACTCTTCTCACATTCCAATGCTTGATTAGTGACTTTCTTTGTGACAATGCGTTGCTGCATCCATTAAAGTAAACCGTATAAGAATCTTAAGAACACAGTTTCCAGTGAACAGAAAATTTTAGGCAGTAGCCATTTTAGTTTCAACCTTCAAAACCACTAGATACAAATAATATGTAACATATGTTCTAATGTGTCTTCTAAATAAAAATAAAATGCTATTAAGTTATGTATGATTTAGAGAGTTCAGCTTAATTAAGGTTGAGACTATAAAGTATTACAATACCTACTAAAAGACAACGTTAGTCATTTAACCTAAGCAATACAGCAGATATTTATTGAGCAATACTTTGTATCAGGCCTTTCACTTCCAACAACACAAAAGTGCTTACGTGAATGAAGAACAGGGAAGTTTGTATTCATGGGATTTTCAGTGTACTATCTGATAGGTAGCCAGTTATCCAGGAGTTTACAATAGTAGTTCCAGGAGTTTAATAGTTGCTCAAAGTGCAACAAATGCTAAAAAGACAGATCATAATGTCCCTAGAACAACCATGTGGAAATATCACAACTTGGCAATGTTCCTTATAAAAAAAAAATAGAAACTATAGATGAGGAAGGGCAAGAGAAGCAATAGCACAGGGTCAGGAGGCTGATGTGTGAGAGGTATTAGGAAAAGAGGAAAGAGGAATGGGTAACTGAAACTCATAGGGCAAAAGAAGATATGGTTGTACAAAAGGAAAATTCTATAATATGGATGTTATATTCAGGGTTTGCAAAGAAATAGACTTAATATGCAACACATAAATTGATAGGATTAGCTTATAATATTTACCCAAAAAGTCAAATGTAGAAGATTGCAACAGATTTGTCCACAAGCTAGAGACCCGAAGAATCCAGCTGAGGGACTAGATTCCAGCACAATGTCCTGCACAAATATAGCTGGAGGCCTAGAGCCCATAGCAAAATCTCATGACACTCCGTATCAAGGATCTGTACTGGGAAGGACTTAGGGCCAGTGGTGGAAGCTAGAAAGTGTGCAGGTATGAAGGATATGTGCCTCCGGGCTGAGGGATCTGCCCTGGAGTCAGGAAGCAACGCTCAAGGCGAAGACCAGAGCTCCGTGGAAGAGAACAGCAGCCATTCCAGTGATAAATGAGGACCTCCAAAGATGAGAATAGCCGAGTTCATATCAGGAAAAACAGCTTCAACAAAGCTTCTCTTGGGGAATCCGAAGCAACCAATCTTCCCCTTCCATTCTCCTTTTATGCCGTTCAAGCAACAATCCTTCGGTGGGCCTCCCACCCCCAGAACCGTGCTGTTTCAGTTCAGCTGAATGCCCCCGCTCAAGTTCCTCAGAGGTTTATTTTTAGTTTTATTTATTTATTTGGTACCTGGAATTTAACTCAGGACCTTGCACGTGCCAGGCAGGTGAAGCACCACTGAGCTACAGCCCAGCCCTGACCACTAGCTAATCCATCACAATGGAGAAATCTGAAAACTCGGCTAAGAGCACTTTGGGAATTGGGAGCAATTTTTCAATATGTTGGCAGAAAAATGATAAAATTTGAATTGCGTTTTGGCAGAACTTAATAGAAGAGACAGGTGTAGTTAATACTAGAAGGATACCTCACTAAAAGTCAGCAATCACCAGAGAATCCACTACCACATCTCATTTAAAAGCCACACAGGATACATCAAGTGTCTTAAAAGTGGAATGACTAAAGTAATAGGGCAAAAATACAATGTCCATACTTAGCTTTTCATGCCAGAAATAAAAGTTCAACCAAGGAGAGCTTTGCAGAGAAAGATGACTAGGAAACATTAGATACTAAAGGACACAGCTCTTATGCTCCATTGCTGTTATATCTCTGATACCATTTATCTAATTACATCTAGCTTGTGTGTTTAACTGTTGTTATATGCATTTTTGACTATAATATAAGCTTGATCATGGTAAAGAACTGATACTGTCCAACATATTTTCTGATTTTTTCAAATCTTGCTTAGTACATATAGTGGCTCAGTACATCATCAATAAAAAGACATCACTAATTTGAGTGTGGGGTAATTTAATACTCATTGCATGGCAGCTCCTGAGCTAATAATTCTTCATATCAAAACATCACCTAATAAGCAAAACTCGACGAAACTGAATTTGAGAATAAGGTGACAGACTACCTCATACAGTGGCACACAACAAACACATATCTAATAGGTCCCCAAATCCCTACTCAACGTGGTTAAGATTTTTGGAACCAGCAGTTACTACAACAGAAAATAATAATTGTGATATTGATTTGTGGGTGGTATAATTTGAACTATACAATTGAGCAACATACATTGAATGTAAATGAATTGTGAGATTACTAATAATGAGAGTTCTAGCTCTCCCTTTTTTTATTCACACACTGTAATGCCATTATTTTTTAAATGTCTTGTCCATTTATGCTTCATAATGCCCAGGAAAGGCCTGAAGGGTAAATTACAATTGATTTTCTTCTATTTAAGCTCTTAGAATTGCAGAAACTTATTCTGCACCTTTCAGCTCCATGCCAAAGAGTGCAAATGTACCTGGAACTCTTGCATATAGCTTGTGGGACTCAGGGCTAAATAAAATAGTACCTTGTCTTCAAAAACATCACATTTCTGGGATCTGTTCTATGATTGCTATTTTCATTACACAGAAAAACACCAAGAGGCAATAACCCTTGATTCTGCACCTTCCTGCAACTTTGGGAGCAGCTCCACCTTTGTATAAAGTGACTTCTAGGTGATTTAAAGAGGTAGTACTTGTCTGCCTGCATTTTTCTTTATTCTCATTTTAGGAAGTAAACAGTGAAGACTGGGACTTTCAAAAGAATTTGTATATAGAGAAAACAATAAAGAGTCATCAAGCCTAAGGGATGAGGTAGACAGAGAAAAGACCTGATGAGATTTCAAATTTATATTTCAGGCTGATTATTAGCATGGGTGATACCTACAACAATTAAAAACAAAAACAAAAACAAAACAAAACAAAACACACACCCCTGAAAAAAGTGACACTGGCTAAAAAAGTGGGGAGATTTACAAAATTACCATATTTCTGCATAAAATGTTGTCTTTTTGACAAAATACAAAATGGCAGAGCATACAAAGAAACTGGAAAGTATGCCCCACTCAAAGAAAACAATCTAAAAGAAAATTCAAGTAAAACCTGATGGCAGATCTATTAAATAAGTAAAGACAACCATTTTAAGGGTGCTCACAGAACTAAAGAAATATGTAGACAAAGTAAAATATAGAATAAACTAAAGGGAGACCATAGGGCAATAACTACAAAAACCGAAATGAAAAATTTATGAGAAGGATTCAGAGGCAGATTTATGCAGTGACCTAGAAGATAAGACAAGAGAAACTATTGGGTAGAAGGAAACAAGACAAAAATATAGAAAAGTAATCAGTATGTAATGGAACTTGTGAGACAATATGAATCTGAGCAGCACTTGCACTGTAGCTCCTGTGGAAAGAGAAGATGGAGAAGAAGCACACTGATTATTTAAAGAAACAATAAATAAAAATTTCCCCAATTTGACAAAAGACATGGGAATAAAATATCCCAGAACCTCAAAAAAAAAGTCTGGGTAAGACAAATTCAAAGAACTTCACATAGTTAAGTTATAAACACAATGCTGTAGAACAAAGACACATTTGAAAACTAGCAAGAAAGGCATCTGGTCAAACACAAGAGAAAATTCATAAGATGATACCCAACTTTTCAACAAAAGCTAGGAGGGGTAAAAGCCAGAGTGCTGAGTATTTAACATGCTTACAGAAAATTAGCAACAAAAACAAGGAAACTGCCAATGAAGAACAGAGTATCACAGAATTGTTCATCAAAACTAAAGGGGAAATTATGATATTTACAGAAAAATAGAGAAGTCCGTGATGTATTTATTTACTTACTTATTACCACTAGACTTGTCCTGAAGGAAATGGTAAATGGAGTTAGTTTTCAGTGAAAATGAGTTAGGTGATGAAAAAAGAAATATCTCAGTTAAGG